TGAAATCCTTGAAAGCACCAATACAAATGAAAAATGAAAAGAATAGCTCAAATCATCATGACACATTTTCAATCACCTTAAAAAAACATTTTTTTTTAAATATCATTCATTTCCTGACTTTTTTGTTTCATTATGTAAGATCCTCAAGTGAAATGGAATGTTGTATGGAATCGCTTATTATATATTGTCATCTAATAATTTTATCACAATAACTTCAATAATTTTCAGCAGGCAAATAAAAAAGGAAAGAGTGGATTTGTAAAATAGGAGAAGTAAAATAAAAATATTTGGACAATTCTTTCGAAAAAACTGCACTCAATATTTTGAAATGGATTTGTAAAATAGAAGAAGTAAAATAAAAATATTTGGACAATTCTTTCGAAAAAACTGCACTCAATATTTTGAAAAGTCCAGGACTCAATTTTATAGCAGGTATTAATATTTCATAACTGCATGTTGTACAGATAATTTGGCAAACATTTTACCGAGTCTACCGTAATCTACAACAAAATAATTTATTTTGGTAGATGATATAAAAATACAGTATTAAAAAAGCAGGATCACATACATGCAATATTTTTGATTTCTAAATGCCCAATTATCAAAATGAGAATATATACGCCACTAATTCAGTAACTACGAGTACCAACAAAATTAAAAAGTTTTTTGGATTTCGTATAATCGAACGATATTTAACACGATACTCTCTTGGTCTTTTGATGGTCGTGAAATTGATTTGAGACGCTTTAAATTTCATAGGAAACATTTCTGCGTGAATGTAATATTCTGGTATTTACAGTATGATCTGAACAATAGTTTAGAGAATGTTTCAAATATGGAAAATTTCAGATGGTTTGCAACAATTCATCCACTCTTCCAGATGTAATCAAAAGTTTCAATTTGCATAAAATACTCCAAAAACCAATTATGTGAGTGTCACATATAAATTATGGAAATAATTATCCTAAATTTTATACTTTTATTGAATCCACTATTGTATAAGAGAACGTGTTTTATCGAATTGAGTTTCAGACTGAGTTGAAACGGGTACCTATATTTCTTAGGAGAGTATAGTTTTTGAGAAAGTTATTTTTTTGGTTTCTACTGCTCCATCTTTATAAGAAAAATGTTCATATTTGAAAGTAACTTCAATGCATAATATACACATATTCATTTTCTATGTAAAGATAGAGGTAGAAAGCTAAAAAGTTTCCGATTCAGATGAAGTTCTGTAAATAGGCCTCCACAATCATCATATTCATCTGGATTTAATTATTTTTACGTGAAATCATACACTCTTCTTTAGACTGTTTGCAAAAAACCACCACCAATATCACTAAAAAAATAGTTTCGACGGGATGTCCAATATCTGTAGGTAATAGATAATCAATAAGATTACCCTCTTATCGAAATTTCAAGGACGGTTCATGACTAATTTGGTAAGTGTTCGAATATGCTCTTGTCAATCATTAAATCTATTTGAAATTTTAGGAAAGGTACTTACCTCATTTACTACCTTGCATGGATCAAATTGAGGTTTCCTAACACTGTTTTTTCAAATATTATGTTTATTCATTGATTTGTTATGTCTGCCTTTATTAGGGTATTTCTAAATTCGAGACATATTCTGAATAGTATACCAATTTTGGTCCAGTCAATGACCATTCCTTCGTACAATTTGGCAATTTACCCAAACAGCCACCCCTTCTCGAAGGTGAAAAATGTTTCGTTGAAAATGAGTCGTAAATTGGATAGATTAAACAATTATAAGTAATACTTTTCACCTCATACGCAAGAAAAAGTGTCAATTTTTCAATATACTGAGACTGTTTCTTGCAAAAAGTGAGTATTTTGACAAATAAATCATTCTCAGCAACAATAGCTTGTAAAAAAACAATTATAATGAGAGGAGTAATAGCTCTTTGACAGTTGGTTCTTGGTAGACCTTATTCGTCAGATTCCAAAATTGAAAGTATCAATTAGAAACACAAAAACCAAGACCTGCAATAGGTACCTGAAATAAAAAATGTTACCTGAATAATCAATACCAATACTACAATAACTAATTATCTTCCATCACGATTACCAACTGTTGAATGGATCCTAAACTAGATGTCAAAATTCACAAATTCAATGTTCAATGCATAGTTCTAGTTGATCATTGAGCGATTTGAAATTGGGGTTTACTCATTTCTAATGCTTCCAACAAATACATTTCCCTTCCTTCATTGCACGTATGAAGAATTTTCATGTTTTCTTCATTCATTGTGTGGTTTGTTTCTTGTAGATGTCCATATATAGCTGATTTTTTAAGCGATACTACTTACTGCATAAGCTATTGGACAGTCATCACATTCTAGTCTATTGTGACAGATTTATAAATTAACTGTCTCAAACAAATTCATTTCCAACAATATTTCAATAATCACAAACTTATTTATTTATTTTAACATTTAGCAACTAAATTTGTTTCCACTATTTGAATTTCTTGTTTAGCCGCTCGATTCACTTTCTGAACTGCCCTTTTGGGTCGGGAAGACGGGCTTATTTTGGTAAAAGTCCTTTTGAGAAATCTGTAGTCAGATCGGTACTCGACTAGAATTTTACCGGCGGTTTCCGACTACATTCTTTCGCGATGAGGTCATGTGTGTTCGATGAGTCAGCTGGCGTAACGGTCAGGGGCGACTTCAGATTCGTTACACTATATATGCCCGATTTTTTGCACTTATCCCTTTTGGATTTTGCGTTGAATTACATGTTCCCTAAAGTATTCTTATCAATAAATGATGTGATTATGTTGAGTTTTGAAAAATTGTTCTCTGTGTTTTCGGAGAGCTTTCTCAAATAGCTTATGCTAGCATATTTCCTAGCTTCTTTAGGTTCTTCATGATTTATATATAGTTCGTTCTTGATCAATATTTGATGCTTATTGGAGATCAGTTTTTCAATTGAGTTTGCAAGAATATGGTTGTTATATGCTACCTGCTTTATGATCTTCATTTCTTCTAGAAAAGCCTCCTCTGATAACGGAACCATAAATGATCTATGTATCGTTGATCTGAATGCCGGTAATTTATGTGATAATGGACTGAGAAAATCCATAGGTATTGTATTGTTGCCGGTGCAAACAGCAAACACCTTTATAAATTCCATAGACCTAGGCAATAAACTAACTAATATCAACAACATTCTGAATACCCTGATTAATCACCTCGACAATAATGGATTCTACACAATTGCATATGCAGATGACATAGTTATCTTGCAGACCGGCAAGTTTGTGAACACACTGTGCGACTGAGCGCAGGATGGGCTCAAATTAATAGAAACATGGTGTAAGGAACACTAACTGTCTATCAATTCCAAGAAGACTAAGATGGTCCTTTTCACCAGGAAAAGAAGTTTATCGGGCTTAAAATGTTCCGAAATCTTCGAAAGCAAACTCAACTTCTCTGAAGAGGTGAAATACCTTGGTACTATCCTCGACAGGAAGCTAACATGGAATTCTCACCTACAGAGTAACGCAAATAGAGCATAAGTGGCTAATGAGCAATGTCGGAGGACAGTGACTCTCGCATGGGATCTTTCACCCCGTGTGGTCACCTGAATCTACACTGCAATAATAAGACCTTTGTTAACGTACGGAGCCATTACCAGGGAACCGAAAGTTCTACAAGCAACGGCCATCCAAAAATTATATCAAATACAGCGAATGGCTTGTCTAAACATCATAGGAGCCATGAGAACAACACTAACCGCAGCTATGGAATTAATTACTGGACTGACCCCTCTGGACCTGTACGTTAAAGAGGTTGCGTTAATGGCCATGGTACGAATGCGCACGGCTGGTGTAAATCTCGAAGTAGAAATGGGTCAATTGAGACTGGGCCTATGGCGGGAAGCGCCTACTGCAGAACCTCTGCTGCAGGCAACCGGTGATGCAATTGAACCCTGGTTTGTGTCAACTAAGGAAACATCTCCATAATATGGGGCTAGTGGACACACCTCTATGCAGGATGTGTGAACAGGAAGATGAAACTGTCAGGCATGTCCTATGCGAGTGCCCGGAGTTATCGTCAATAAGAGGGTGTGTGTTCGGCGAGTCTCCTCCCCGGGAGGATGTACAATGGGTCACATGTGGCCTAAGTGCTGTGTGCTTACACTCACCCTCCCTACTCTACAGATACAGATCAACAACATCAATAACATTAAATTGGTATCCTTCAATGTGAAAAACATATTTCCAAATGTTCCAACAAACGAATGTCTGCCTCTGCTGAAAAATATACTAAATAATATATTACCTACTGGGAAACTATACAACCTCTTTCATAACTGAATAGAGTTGGGAAGCTGAATACACTCATTGAATAAATGAATCGAAGAGGTTTTGTATGAAAGTAGATAATTATTAAATTATTGCAAAGCGCTTTCGACTTTCGTCATCATCAATGCTCACCTGAAAGTAAGTGATGCAATTGAAAAGAAAGTTTTTGTGATAATAAAATTTTTTGAAACTTTTTTTGAGGTTATGAATTTAGGAAACAAAATTTATGATTACTTACTTCCTGTTGCCTGACAAGTAACTGAAATGTCCGTTTGATTTCAAGCACATTGAAATGATCAAACTTTTAAATCATATCACAAGTAAATGGGAATTGTGTGAAGTGATAACGAATATTTTCAATTGGGATGGTAATCCTGAGGTGATTGACTTTTTTTGTCGGCAAAAAATTAGGTACCAACATTATTCGGTAAAATACTTACTTTTTGAGTAATTCGCGAAAAACCGGGAAAACATGGGTATATTGGTTGAAAGATTACTCACGAATATGTCTGAAAGTAGATACTGGTTTCCAGCAAAAAACTTCATAACAAAAATTATTCTCATTATCGTTGTCTGGAACTTCAATTCAAAAACCGTTTGGTTCGTCATTATTCATATTTTATTCAAATTATCATCAAGGTAATGGATGAAAATTGTGAAGTAACAAACACCATATACTAAATTGGATTTATTTCTCTAAATATAAACTGCTTATGAATTAGAAGAGAATGTGACAGGTTTGGTTTGAGGGCAAGACGGGGGCCTGAAATATGTGGGCCTATCACATTTTACAATAATACAATACTTAAAATACCGTGACAGCTTGATAAGTACGCCGTCTCTTTGGTACATTATTACACATTTTACAAGTGAAATATTAAATTTTGAACGTACAGTCGATTTGTCAAAATGAAAATATACGTGATATAATAGTTCTCTTCGCGGTTTTCGATAAAAATAGAAATAGTTCAATTCATTAAATATTCATACGGAAGGGTAATTCATAATTCAAAGAGCAAGATTTACATAATTTTCACCTTAAAGTTCCATAATTAAATTTGGGTTATTTCTCCGGTAAAACTTCCCCCTACTCATTGGTATTATTAATGAATTTTCATCCAATCTATGTTGATTTCAAAACTGTTTTCAATAATATAATGTTTGTACTATCTTATTGCATATCTTTCATTATACTGTTCAGTATTTTGAATTTTATATTGTTTACATCAAGTCATTCAATTTAGTAGTATTATTTAAATTGAAATTCTCAGAAAATTATGTACGAACTACCCACAGTATTTTTTCATATAAAATATTTAAAATTGACCCGCTCTAATGTTTTTCATTCAACAATATACATGATTTTTGTTAAACTGAAAGAGACATACCAGCAATGTTAAAAATAAATTCGCAGTTAAACTCTAAAAAATCTCTAGTCAATTATTTATTTGATCTGCATGGTCTTGAAAAAATCCATCTTTGTTTGTGGTCATACATATAATTTGAAATAATTCTAAATGTTATCATTGAATACCTAATTGCTATTCTAATAAATGTAATGGATCGAAAAAGAAAGCAGTTAAAGATATGTATGTTTTCAAATAATCCAGTCAAATAATTATTATTTACATGTAGCGGCACATATTCGAATATCTTATCTGCAAGTGAACCTCATTTATAACTTTCTCACATTTACTTTCTTCGCTTTGATATGGGTAAAACAGCAATATCATTCAGTCTTTCAAGTATCAATCATATTTCAACATATTATTGAGTTTATCAGAAACACAACTTTTTTAAATCAATAAATACTTATTTAACTGAAAATATTTATTTAGCTGAAATGTATTCCTTGATTGTCATTCAACAGTTGTAACAACGTGTTGTTCAAAAAATCTAGACGTACAGTTGCCCTCATTATGAAACATGAAAGAAACCGAAATGATGTTAATAAAGTTTTCAGGACTTCTGAGTTCAGCATTTACTTTGCAAATTTTACCGATCTTCTGAACAATTACATAAAATTCGAAAATAATTATCTCAGATTTTCAATTTAATAACCCACTATGACTTCGTTCATGTCGACAGCTTCAATCTCCTTGAAAAATGATTTGAAAATATTTTCTCATCATTGTATAAGAAGAGACATACATTTTTTCCATCCTGTTTTTAGATGAACGTTAAAGCTGTAGAGATGAATATAGGTAGTATATTCAGGTACAATATCTAGTTTAAAATATCTGACAGCATCAAAACAAAACGAAATAAATAAAAATTGAATGTAACTGAATATGAATATGAAGGAAATGTTATTTCGTTCTCCCTATGTGATGGGAAATTAGGATATATCTAGCCCTTTGAATATAAACAAATTTTTTGTGATTTGATCACCAATATCGAAAATACTCCGAGATTCCTGGAGGAATATGTATTAAGTTGAAAAATGCAATTTTCTGACTAGTTGATGAATATGTAAGTACATTCCACGTAGAGGTTTTTGAATAAGGTGCAAATTAATCAAATTCATGATGGAAAATCCACGTAACCTAGAAGGAATTACTGTTAACCAATTCATTCTAGGTTATTGAGTCTGGTGTGATAACGTGCTCCTATAACATAAAGCTAAAAACATTTCTTTGGTGTATCTTAAATTACTAAAAATAAAATAATATAAAATATATTATAGTCAATAAAAACTCATTGAAAATCGTATGGATAAATAAATAACATTCTTCGTAGTTGTCTGAGACCAATGTATACTTTACAATAATTATTTGCAATATCTCCATTTGTCTAAAACACAAATAATTTTACAAAAACAAGTACTATAACTACGGTAAAGGACCGATATCTACACGCACGCACAATTGCTCTATACACATTTTGAGGGTTTTTCACAAGACCCGATTCTGTCCATCTATCAGCAAAATATTCAACCCAAGTTGAGTTCGTGTGTGAAAATATTTTCTGTCTTCAAACACGCACTGCCACTGTCGGTTGGGGAGTTAGCTGATGCAAGGGAGTTTGCTCTAGTCGCCGATAGAGGACTCCGACTGCTTTGGTCTATATTTGTATTCGCGTTACATATCTGTGCTCCATTGTTCTGAAGTCCAAGATTGTTGTTACTATAGTAGTAAGCGGTATCTGCAAAAGACATATACAATGCAATTTTTTCCACGACCAGATATGTAAAAAACAGTTTTCATTTAAAGTATGTCCATAGTGAAAAAACGTCGATTGCCACTCTAGTGGTGAAATATTTCATTTCGTAACTTTCGTCTCCAGTTTCGAAAGTAATTGGGGTGCGTGTACATGTACTGAACGTCTTGTATACAATATTCATTTCATAATTATCCAATATATTGATTTTCTTCAATACTAAAATATACTTCGGAAATTTCCTCATTTTACAAAACGAAAAAGGATTTATTATATTATAACAAATTTTGCCGATGATACAAGAATCTCACAAAATCAAGAAATCGGCTGTAGATTCATCATTAAATCTGTTTGCAATACTGATTTGGGTTTCCACAATACAGCGCAAGAAAATTTAAACTTTGACGAAGAAATATGCTCCCATTAAATTCCCAATATGCTCTGCTGAAAACCACAATTTCAATGAAGTGAAAAGTGGGTTTTGAAAAATTCACAAGTAACGTGCTCTTTTAAAGCGCAAATATATTGGAATCGTTTTCGAAAATGTATCTTTCCACGGTATCAACAATCAAGACGAATGCTCTTGACGCAAAATATTCAACTGAGCTATTTATTTCAAAATGAATAATCAATGTCTGATATCCCTTCCAGCTAAATTAGTATTCGAGTTGTTCCTGTTATAGCTTGTTTTCACCCGAAATTACATCGAAAACTGCCTTAACAAATACTATATATCATCATCCGCGATAAATAGAACACTTTATTGTGAAACAACGATCATTCTCAATAATTACTTCGATATAACAATCAACAAAAAAACAGACAATCAATAAAAGATTCGCTGTGTTATTCAAAACAAAAATGATAGTATATTTATGTACTTTGATGATAATATGTGTAAGTGTTCGATTGACAATACTCGTTCATAATTGTTTTCTTTATTTTTTTTATATTTATTGAAAATATGTAATTATTTTCATTCATTGAAAATTGTCGCAAGACAAACTGAATTATTATCATGTCCTCAATGTTTCAATAGCTTTGCAATTATAAGTAGACCATTATTTGCAAACTTGTTGAGAGAAATGATTTTTTGTTCACTGATGAGGACATTTTTCCAGCTGAATTATGCACCGTTTAGTTGTTCATATGTGTTACAAAACCAAATTCGAGATAAAAACAGGAAAGATATTTATTTTGAACATAGAACCGAAAATAATTTTGAAAAATTGCCGCTGACAATACAATATAGGCATTAATGGTTGCAAATAACTTTGACATGAAGTATCATTTTACTCCATCTGCTATAGAAAAATAAGTGGGGTGAAAGGAATTACCCTCGAAAAAACAAAATAACGAGTCTCGAAAATTTCGCAACTAGTTATCTTCTTCTGAACTATTGGAGATTATTATAGTCAAATGTATGCCTTTTTTTTAATTTTTTTGTCTATATGTTACGTAAATAAACGTATTTGCCGCTATGTTCAGCCAGAAGTAACGTACACTATCACAAGCAATGATATTTCGGTAAACAGAACCCAATTACATGGAGACAGACGTTTGATAATAGAGCATAAATCCTATATATTACAATATTTTCTGTCAAAATTTTCATTCGTAATACTCACTGTTTACTTACTGAGTAACCCGCTGGATGCACTACCATAACCATAAGTTCCATAAGCTGCTCCGTATTGACTATAAGCGGTACTGTAAGCGTAGTCAGTTCCATGTACCATCGTGGTGCCTGCTGCAATAATAAATTAATGAGTGAATATGGTTCATCGAAAGTATTCAGCAAAGTGCAGTGTTTTTGAATAGATGAGGCAGTAATTGTGGAATTTGAGATTTTCATAAAAATACACGGCGCAACTATTCCGGAGAACATAGTTCTCAGCAGTCTTCAGAAAATAACAGATAACAGAAAAAATAAGACACACTCGAAATTTCCAATTCGAAGTAAAATTGGGATATGAATCCAATTTAGGGGTTGTTCTCCAACTCGTTTCACAAGCAAAAACAATTGAGAAACCTTCTGATAGGACCTGAACAAATCGTTTGGATAGACTGACATTTTACTTGAAGAAAATTAATAACACTATCCAAAGTAATACATGGATACACTACACAATATTGTCGAACTGGTACATTAAACTATGCTACTATACAACAGTAGATATTAAACCCAATTAGTTATACTCATGATACCAGGATCCTTTGGATATATATTTGCCTGATTGTTAGGCCAATGATCCCGCATGGCGCCAGGTGGTCCAAAAGCTCACAGCAAACGGCCTAGGCAAAGCAGTCTAGCTTAGAGAGACGGGCTTGCCTGTCTAGATCTACTTTCTCTCCACATCTCTCGGAAGAGAGTGGCTAGAAGAACAAATGCAAAATTGTGCACATTGCTAATCGGACAAAACGGGTTTATGAGGTTACATTTTTAGCTTGACCTCCAAAAAGTCAATTTCGACCTGCCTTGTACAGTCTTAATCCAAACTTGAGAGAAATAGATACTCCGAGAGGAGAACATATCTACTGAAAGCAGATCTGTTGATTCTCTATCGGCTCACGTGTCAGTACAGGTATATTTAGAAGGTCATACTCAGGAGAAAAATATTTTTATGGGGACATATGCGTCCGTATTTCAGGCGGAAATTCACGTCAGTCAATTCACTTGACTCTTACCGAATAATAACCAAGTTGGTAGAAAATAGCATCGATAGAAATATTCAACAAAATGTCCGTGGTGAGGGTTCCTGACCACAGTGAACTAGAAAATAACGAAGCTGCTGACTCTTTTGCAACCTATCACAGGTGTTGTTTCAGGATTCAACAAACAATCACTGAATAGTCGGATTGCGAAAAAAACTTTTGGCAAAATCTAGCAGTATTGGCCCATTTATGTAAATCACCAAACAATTGTTAGAGAATAGCAGAAATTATTTGCGTTGTATTCACAAAATACTATCGTCTGAATCATCTCATGAAGATACATGGTCTGTTGGAAGACCATAAAAGATGTTGAAACTATGAAGACTTTGTAGTCGACCCAACGACGACTGAATAATCTGACTTGAATGATCATTCGTCAAATTAACTGGAGGTTTCGTCCAGAAACTGGACGTATTTGGCTGAGTCTGAGTAGAGCCACAGTAACCCTCACGGGTTGCAGTAAAGCATCGAATATACCCACATCTGACCTAGATTCAAGTATACATTATCCTTTAGTCCTTTCTCAATGTCACTAGGTAGGAACCACAGTTTGAAAGGTAAAACCTCGTTAGTCTTTAGCTCACACAAGTTTCGACTTTTGAGAGTTGTAGTTCGTAGGGGTGCGACAGCTGGTTAACAGAGAAACATATTTCAAATAGATTTAAAAAAACAATTTTTCACTTTTGTTGAAATGATTGATGAAAGCTGAGAGTTCAGATATTGCAAAACCGAATATTTTGTCTTGTAATACACTTCCAATTCATATGGATCATTTCAGCAATATTTATATCTCATACCACCTTCTTTTTTTGTCACTGTTTAAAATCTGTTTAAAATCTGTTTAAAATCTGTTTTTCCGTTAACCAGCTGTCGCACCCCTACGAACGACAACCCTCAGAAGTCGAAACTTGTGCGAGCTAAGGATTAACGAGGTCTTACCTTTTAACGTGTGATTCCTAACAAATATACTTTGTATAATCAAAGAGGAATCTGAATTGAAAAGTTGTATCTATTTGATATGTCAAATACACTCGTTTTGAAAACATGTTAACAAATTAAGCTGGGAGTTGTTGTTTACTATGCCAAAGTTGAGTAAAATTCATAAAATTTGGTTACAATTTTAACATTTTTGAAGTTGACTGCTAGTGATATTACTAACAACAACAAAAATGTATTCTTTCCATTTCCATTTTTATCATTTATGCTTCACTCATGTTAATTACTGCAGTACTTAGGGTGTGTTCATTTGCTTTCAAGTGCTCCAGAGCATATAGCAGAAGAAACCTCTTCGTTGTCGGTTACCACATGAATGTTCTCTTGATTAGATTTGTTTTAGAGTTAGGTCGTCACCGCTACCCTTCTGATATAGTTTGAGAAAAAGTATTTTTTTTTCATTTTTTTATGTTTTCACACTTGATTTTTGCAGAATTTATATCTTAGCATCAGCCATAGTATTTAAGTTTTCTCTTATTTGTTTCAATATCAGTTGCTTTCCTATTTGGTTGGAGCCACATCCGTTACCCTATTCCCAATTACTTTCATATCCGCCAATACTGCCTACCAATATTTATGGAAAAAATGCTAAAACTGTCTCAATTAACTTTTTACTGATCTGTAAATTAACAACACAGAGAACCCTGCGATAATCAGATTCGGACTAGTCAGTATCGAATATTTTTCATGCCGGTAAATCAGACAGAAACACGCCACTTTTAATCAACATTTATTTTTTATCAAGTACTGAAGTAATATTTTATTCGATCAGTACTGTATCTTCCCCAAGAATTTAAGTTCAATTTCTAGTTAGTTATTTGCTATAAAATACTGAGTATTTTCAATGAAACTAATCATAACGTATAAACACACCACTTTTAAACAAAATTTACTTTTTATCAGTATTGAAGTAATTTTTAATTGGATCAGTAAGTACTCTATCATCCCCAAGGAATGTAATTTCAATTTCTACTTGGTTATTTGCTATAAAATACTAAGTATTTTTAATGAAAGTAATATAACGTATAAAATAAACTGATCTAATGAAGAAGCTTTGGAAAAAAAATGAAAATTCAAACTGATATATAGGTACTGACGGGTTTTGGGTGATACACTGCTCAGTTTAGCAATTGTTTTCTTGTTAGAAACAGTCGGGATAACGAAATAAATCGTTTCGAACCAAAACGTTTCCATCTATTCTGACTATCTGCACAGTTCGAAACGTTTTGGTTTGACACAACATTTTTGACAACTAACCGATTATGTTTCTATTTTATTGAGCAATGAATGAGGAAACGGAGGTTGCCATTCTGTTCTCGAATTGTATCCAATTGATAGAGGTACCACTGGTCAGAATGTTTCAAATAATATGACTCGAAACTTATTCATATGGTTGACGAACAAGATGTTGCCAAACGTTGCAAAACGAGTCTAACCAATATTTCGGTGGCGCCTCGTACTAATTCACTGTTCACACTTCGTTTCGTAATGGTACTTCCTCAACCATCTCTTGTGGTTCGAATAACCGAGTAATTGCCAATGACCGAGTAATCAGAAGTTTTTCTGGTAATTTTCTAAAAAAGTAAGGTTTGGGTAATTACCGGGCAATCGAGCTCACGATAGGAAAAACATCAATATTTGCACACTACTTGCATTCACTGTCATACGTTACTGAAGTGAATTGTACTCTGTGTCTTTTTTTTATTATGTGCCGTGACCATAAACTCGTAAATAAAGAACAGGCACAAGCAACACTCGTAGATTTGTTGAACTTTCCAAATTCAAATTGTTTTTGATTTTACTATTCATTCTTCAGCTTTGAGGAGTTAAATCGTATCGCACATTTCATCGTCAGTCGACGAGTTTGAAACCACAACATATTTCTTGCTTGTTTGTTGTGTTCCGGCATGTGTTGGGCATGTGTTGAGTTCCGGCAAAAATCGGGTATTTTCAGACACAATTGCAGATAATTTGACCATTTATCATTGGCAAAACTGCTTGAAACATACATATGAAATCACCTCATAAACCCTTCTGGTTCATGAGGTGATTTCATTCTAGTGGGTAATAGAAATAGTGAAAGTACTCCAAGAAATGAATGTTCACCTCTGCTTCCTATCCATTGATGCTCAGTAAAATACAGCTGTCATTCATACGAACATAATCAATCAGTGTTCAAAAAAGTTGTAAGCAACGAAAACGTTTCGACCTGTGTGCAGGTTGCCAGAACAGATCGAAAAATTTTGGTTCTTGTGCGACCAGTCTAACATAAACACCACTTGTACATGAACCTCCACCACTAATAAACAGACAGAATTGTACCTGTAGTTGAATACCCAAAATTCGGTAACATCGCCGTGTAATGCTGCGATGATCCATTAGACGGTTGAAGGACGGTTAGTGCGGCGGGGTCTGGGGAACCCGTGTGAGACGCTGGTTGACTTCCAGATTCTGCGGGGAGCGCGAGCGGCAGCCCGGGAGAGGCCCCATCCACTGCCGCTCCTAGACCGACCACGCCACTGTACGGTGAACTAGTCTCGGCTACAGCATGCAATAACACATAATTAACACAAAAACAATAACAAAAATGGTAATTTAGAAACAAAAACAATTACATGCGGTTAAAATATCGAAGCAACAAGCAAGTTTTAATGTATTTATTCCGGTTTAACGTCAGTGGCAGTTCATTGGTGATGTCACATAAAAAAATATTGTTCAATAATTTCCCTGCCATTGGACTGTATCACAAGAAGCAAAAAGATTGGCTAATAAATTCATTCCAAATGCTCCTATTTGTTGATACATAATACGATATATATTTCATAGGAATGCTATACAACTTTATATTCCTTTTTCAATCAAATGAAATTTTCCATGGTTGGGATTGAATCAATTAACTATATGAATGAATATTACTGGAGTTTTTTCCCAACACCAAATCCTTATTTTTAACATCTTGTTTAACAGAGGTGTTAAAAATAACGATTTGGTGTTGGGAAAAAACTCCAGTAATATTCATTACTACACCAAAGGTTCCAAACAGTACATCATAAGTATATGAATATTTTTGAGGGGAAAATTTTCTCTCAATTTGTTTGGAGGACTGAAACCAAAAAAAGGTTTTTCCCAAAAACTAACCTCTCCTAAAAATACATCCCTTTCAATTTGAACTAGATTCTTATGGCTGGGAACATAGCAAAAAAGTATATGAAAATAATTATTCTTTCAATTCGAACAAAATTCTTATGGTTGGGATCAAAACAAATAAGAGTATGAATACATTAACGTACTGTTATCGTGACATAAATAGATTTGTCCCAATGTTACTGATAAAATGAGTGCCTTATCTTGTAATATTATGCAAAACAGTTCTGGTGAGATGAAAAGTCATGTGTCTTATACCGACACTTCGAAGTCCGCCATTGAGAATAGTAGTTCCATGTGAATGAAATTTCATATCGTAACTCTTTCATGTGTATCAACAAGTGTAGCGTTCTTATGAATGCTACCTGATTCGATTTCATTATGAATGGTTGTAATAAAAAGTTAATAGAAAAAAGTGGTTTACGTATAATTCAATTTTACATGGAAATAGTTGTTTCAAAAGTATCTTTTACTTTGTATAACTTAATGTTGATGTTTCGGGGGCATTTTGTGTCCAGATTTGTGTTGAAGAGGTAATGAGGCAAGTGTTTTATTCCGTAACACCGGATGTCCGTCATTGAGGTTGACAATGTTGGTGAAATTTTGCCTTTATCATATACTCCATTGTGTAGGAATTATGTGAATGTTATCTGATTAAATTCCATAACGAATCTTTCAAAAAAGGAATAAAGCAATTGATTTCAAAATAAACTCTTTACAAAAATGTTTGGGATTCAAACTGATTAGGAATAAGTATTTCTTGTATAATTCACATCTTTGTGAAGAGTTCATTTTTAACTCGATTGAATTTTCCTTCTGTTGGAAGTTTCCCACAATATGTATATCTGGAAATGAAGAAGTGAAAACCAAAAAGCTTTTTCCCAAAAACTAATACCTCCTTAAAGTATATCTATTTCAATTCACCATTGATTTTTTTTGTTTTCGGGTTTCTCGCTTTTTGTATGATGATTAACAAGTAGAATAAAAATCCAAGTTGAATATGAAACAAAATCATGGTTCAGAGTTTCTGGTGAAGATTAATTCCATCTACTTTAGGTGATTTCTTCACAATCGTATTTCTATATGTCGAATTAGAGAAACACTCATTCAAAGACCAAATGCTCACTCAACACATTAAATTAGGAGTTTTCAATGGTTGAGAAACTGTTGAACGATTAATGCTCATCTACATTACCATTATTTTTTCTACAGGATTTTTCTACAAGAACTGTTTTTGAAAAATCAATGCGTCAATTATCATGCCACATTTCGTTTGTACTGAACTCCTGAATTATGAAGTCTAATGTACATTTATTAAATGAACTTTATAATATTCTTGTAAATCACTGACTGAGAAGTTGAAGCTAATAGATATATTGAACTGTACCCCATCTAATGTCCGACCGAAAGTTCGGTTTCGGTTTCGGCGGCAAACCTGCCGAAACTACGACCGAAACCGAAACTGCATTCGACAGTTCCCGCGCTGTGATCGGTCATGTTCGGCGCGTTGAATTTCATACAATTGACGAAGACATTTTGCCGCGTCCACGTGCCTAATCATACCTATTGTGATAGTAGGTAACAACTTAAATAAGTAATTTCATGTTTAATATTTTTGAAAAACCATCAATAATATTCAAAAGAAAGATCTACACCTACTCAAATAAACACCTTACATATTTTAAGTATTTTCAAGGTGCAATTAATATTTTTCCTTAAATAAGTGTTCGTTATGTTGATTATAATGTCAAAGAATCCGTAAAGATAAAGCAATAAAGACTGACTATAATAACGTTTTCTTTATTTTTTCCCCCTAAACATAATCCTTTTAAGGAAGTTTCGGTTTCGGCCGAAAGAGTGATATTGAAAATCGATGAACTGCATTTTCAAGGTCTACACGGACATTGTGAAGCCAACATGCTGAAGCAAAAACTCTGAATAGAATAACATGGGAAAGTAGGAAGGGCACACTGCTGATTTGCAGATAAATAATGAGATAGTACCAATTCTAATTGAAGGATTCAATGCCAAATGATGCAAGCTCAAAACACACATACAGCAAAACAATAGCAATGAATAAATTCATGCGAAAATCATTTCATGCTAATGTAATATGATACAGTGGCGTGTGTCCAGTGAGTATGATACATAATAATTTTTATTTTTGACTGCTGGGCTTTCCGTACAATTGAAATGAATCTGATTGAATTACTCAAGCCTGTGATTAATTGATATTTTGGAGTTTTCCATGTATTGTTTGATCAAACGACATAAAATATTTCCAAGTTATTTACAATAAATATAAAACTGTGATTATCATCCTGACAGCAATCAACGTTATCACGAGTCGAATATGTTTGATGCTCAAGGTCATACTACGAATTGCAAATTACCCCCAAACTATTATATTATTTCCACCATTCCCCGACCATTCTCATATAACCTGTCCAACTACCATCTCAAACCTCATTATCTGTTTATCTATTTAGCAATAGATACTCACCTGAATGATAAGGGGACATTGATGGATCCATTATCCGAGATGTTTCGATTTTCATTTCGTGCATCGTTATCGGAGCCAAAGGCGTTAAAGAATTGGTACCTATATTCGAGGCTTCATTTAGTTTTGATTCTTATTCATCCAGTTAGTGCTACCACCACCAAAATTATCAACATAGCATTTTAAACAGAAACAGATTAATACGTAGAAGAAAAGAAGCGCTGAAGTTGTTTAATATCCAAATTTTTCAATGTCGCTATATATTTGACCTATAGATCGTTGAAAAAATATTTTCCCAAATATTGTAAACGAAATTAAAAATGAAATGAGACAATTTATTGACTATTCGTTAATTTTTCTCCTGAATCACAAACTAAGGTATACACCCAAAAAATCAAATTTTCTTGTCTACGCATACATTCTGATTTATAATTCAGTTTTGTTGTATTTGACGTTGTTGACAAATTCTCATTGGTAGGTTGATTGTTCATCCCGTGGTATTTTATTATGAAATCTATTATTCAGCTTAGCTGAACAGCTTAGCTAAACTATTACACTCCAATAAATGCCTCAACATGGAACGCATCATGGAGTACCTCCAGAATAGATACCCCAAGAAGCTGTTAAAATGATTATTTATCACACTACTACAAAGAACAGACAATCGTTTTCCTCTTCAACAGTTCTATCACAACCAATTTGGTCCTTTCATATAGAAATTGATTTTAAAATCAGAATGGTTGGATCAGAACACAATACGAAAACCTGCTTTGAATCCAGATATAATTTCCAGAAATCCCACGTAAACCAAACCAGCAAGAGTAAACGACGATTCTTATAATAATAACACTCGGATACCTTGTGAATGTGGTGAGTTCTACGAGAAGAAGTTCAGCAGGGAGAACTGGAGAAGCTGGCAAGTTTCGAATAGTGGACTGCGTTTTGACCAACTAACGCAGGCATCAAGGCATTTGAGGTTAAGATTATCTTCAATGGAGGATACTGGTTCAAATAGATATTCAAAGAAAACATGAAATATACTATTCACGGCATTTACTCTAATAATATTAGAAATTGTAAAAAATCCCAATAATGAAGGAAAGCCAGTTGCTGTTTACTAAACTGAAGTAGTCAGTCGTAATTCGAAGGCAATTCTGGATACTACCAACAACTTGCTTTTTTTTCGTAGATACATCAATTCTAATTTTCATATTTGCTCAAAATAATGTTTGTGTTGTACTTTCTTGCTTTTGTTTTTGCTTTCGCAGTATCATCCAACATTTTTTTTCTTACTAACTCATCCGAATATTTTGATGCTATTATTTTCTCTATTCCATTCGTTTCACCACCATTAGATTTCAAATGTGTTTATTTGGTATTGGAAGTCTAAGCCTCCAAAATATTCACTTTCAAATATAATCGTTTCTAACTTTACCTTATCTTCATCATAATATTCTCTTCTACAATTAAGTTGTTTTATGTTGAAGGTCTTACCTAACGTCCCAGCTAAAGGAGGTGTATACAGATTTTGAGATGTCGCTTGACTCATGGTATTGATGGTATCATATATATCCGATGCTGAACTGACATTCCCGACGCCTCCAAAACCCGCATGCGTGTCATAGTACCCCGTTTGACCAGTAGTGGTGCCTGCACCTCCTAGTTCGGAGAGCAACTTGTGCTCGTCTTTGATACTCCATTTACTTGACCAAAGCTGGAATATGAAAGATAATGAATTGATCAAATAAAAAATGGCGAACCAAATTTCGTATTAGTTTTTATGCATGCATATGATACGGCTATCAAATGAAAAGTTTTGCTGAAAATTATTCGAACAACATTATATTACTCCAAATCCAATATGGCACCGTCCAAGATGGCAAACTAGTTATTTTAGGACTACCATGACATTGGTATCTAATAAAAGGTTTTGCTGAAGAATTCGAAAAATGAAATGACGTCACTCTAAATCAAATATGGGGATATGGGGAGCCCCTGAAGCCAACTCCTGAAACTCTTATTTAATACGCGTAATATTGCCATAGGTTTTCAGAATACTGTTCGTATTTTAGATTTATTCAACATCTCGATAGGCAGAATTAATAAATACCAATTACAGATGAATAGAGGCTTTTTTGTCAAAATTCCACGCAGTTACTTATTGGAGTAAACTAGAAAATAACTTTCGTTCAATGTGTTATTTATTAGAAAATTTTTTGCCAAAAAAATTATCCTATCAAATTTGTCTATTTCTAGTCATGTGTGTCGAAATAACCAATGAAACCATCATTACACTGATAACTACCCATGGATAGTTTTCACNATACCAAACCCTATTTTTAACACCTCAACGCATGTAATATTCATTAAACATAATGTTAAATCTTCATTCATCAATAAGTGCTTTCCATTCACAATTTACTTGCCACCGATAATACACCCCATCGAGTAGAATGGTGAATTGTACTGATGAAACAATTCTCTCTCCTTATCAACCTGGCATATTCTATGTTATCTGAGTGGGTTGGCTCTACTTGTGTAAATTGGTTTCAGAAAAACACATCATTAGTGTGACTAGTAAGTCAAAAACAAAACCGACAGTCACGTAAACTTCAGCATTTCATATATTTTTTCACTATTCAATTTATTTTCTATTAATTCCTTCACCTGCTCCAAAATAACTAATCATAATGAATAACGAGAGAGTTTGCTCTGAATTAAAATAAATTGAGTAATTGTAAACTTATTTATTTTGACGAAGTACTATTCACTGCAAGAGAGGTGACAAAAAATGTGTATTTTGCTTTCAAGGAGAAAAGTTGGTCAGTTGTTTCATTACGAATCGTACGAAAAAAAGTTAATCGATATTCTACAACAATAAATTTGTAATGGATTGTCAACTTACATTTGAATATAACTGGTCTCCGTTATACTGAGCTCTCTGTCTTTTGTAATCGTCATCTGGATGTCCATTCATGTCTTTATTTTCGTCTGCAAAAAAATTTGTATTATCAATCAAAATATTGAATTGTCATCAGAATCAGAATTTGAAAGTTTTTTCTTGATAAAAAGTCATTAGTTTCTATAATTGGGAAGTGAGGAAAACATAATTTCAATTTGCCGATGTTACCCATTATGTAATATTGTTAACACTAGTCTTCACAAAATACATTAGTGTGATTCTTTCTATGATCTTCGATTCAGATTCACTGTTTGTTGCAGAATGAAATATCATTTTTGAAACTGGAAATTATTGATTGATCATTTTCAAGTTATGAAGTAACAAACTAAAATTGGTTTTTTTGGGCTATCGCACCTCCATTTAAAATAATATGAAAATTAGACAGAAAAACTTTTTGCGATGTTTTGCTCTGATTTGAAAAAATGTTTTGTCATCCCAAATAACTTTTTCCTGATTTTGACAATCCTGTAAATTTTTCCACTCACGAGATTGCAGTAGTCAGATTAACTTTAGAAACAATATGTGTGGGAAATACCTATGTTTTTCGATAGTAGATGTGTAAAGATTACTATCACAAAATAAAACATTATGAGACTGCTAATTGTTAACTTTATCAGTCAACCATTGCATAAACGATATCCATCAGCAAACCACAATATATTTTTTCAATTTTGAATGACAGATGATATAATGTTTTCTCCGGATGGTGATGGTGATTTGATTGAATATTGATATTTATCCTTCGTTTCAGATTTCACAGAGGATTTTATTATATCACTTGGTTATGGAGAACATTTTGGCTGTCAAAAAGAAGACTGATTAGACCCCTGTAACAATTTAGTTTAGAGCAATAAGGGGTGAATGAAATGATTTTAGTTCTCTGAAGGAAGCGTAGTGGGATTATATGCGCCACACATATATTTTCATCTCTATATGATTATAGATAAGAAAATGAAATTGAGAAAAAGAAATTATTAGACTGAAACTTTTCTGTTGCAGCAAGACTCATCGGATCTGCCGATGATCTAACACTATTGGTACATAATAGTGACTGTGAAAATCGCGGATTGGATATATGAACTGCACCTGCCTTCCGAAAAAGTAGTTCTTGAAAGAAAAACGTAAAATAGATCATGTAAGATTCGTCTTGGCAAATACCATAATGGAAAACAAGAAACACTTAAAATTTTTAAAAAGTCAGCTTTTTTTCTGAAGAACTTCTAGGAAATAATATATACCCTTGTATGGAAGAGGCCACATCTAGTACCGGAAAAATGTGGTTCTCAGTTAAGTGGATCAATCGATACTCTTTAATGAATCTAATTTGTATATTTTTTCATAGGGTCAGAAAAATACTACAGCCTCGTGGAGTTATTGTATTTTTTTCTTTTAATTTCAGCAATTCTGTCTCTATACTAGTTTGTAACGTGCTTTGGTGGATGTTTGTTGTATTCACCCTATAGAATGGTCATTTCATATGATTTAGAAATCATATCTGGATTGATGCTGATAAGGGATGAGACGATTGGATTGAGCAATTATTCTAAGAAGAAGATCATGCAATATTAGTTGAGGACTCCTGTGAGTAAAGTGGAGAAACGAACTTGACGAAAGTTCATCAAAGTGCAAATCAAAGACATAGACCGAGAATGATATTATTGATATAGTGATTGAGAACCTTAACAACCGGGTACATTACTCGAAACGATAACTGATATGAATCACGAAATCACAAGTGAACATTATTACAGAACATAAATTCTGATAGTATATATATTTCAAAAATTACCTTGATATAACAAATACTATTGGCCATAAAAATAAGACTGACACAGGAATCTGGGGGAGTCCAGAAAAAGCATCAGGAAGTTAACGAGCATTTTTGTGGTAATTTTTGTGAGTAGGAAACGTCATTTAGAAAGTATACTACCCATTTTCAATACTCGGAAAGTAATAATATTTCTAACTATAATTTGTGCTTTTTTATCAACTGAAAAGAAAATATATATTATTTTCCTTCAGAAAGCAATATGCAATACTTTGTTGGTACTAATATATTTCCATTTAGGAATGAATTCAAAATTTTTCAATCAATTGAGAAATAGATTGAGATTTAGACTTTCTCATCATAAAATGATTTATCATAAACCAGCAGACCACTCTGAACCACCGACAAGTTTCATTTCCGGAAACTCCACTGCATTTTCGTTTCACCAAATGTCGCATATATCACAATAATAGCCAACCAGTTCAAATGACTATTTCATTCGTTAAACGAAATTGAATACGAATCAAAGGGATCAAAAATAGCAATGTACATCACTAGCATAACAATACGTGACTTCACTACAACACTAGTCGATTTATATCAAATGTACCCTTCAAGCTCCCCATGGACCAGTCAATATAATAGCAATAACATCGCCCCTGCCAGTACAGTCAGTCAGAGAAATGGTGTTCATGATGTTTTCAAGAATTTGGTTTGAATTTCGCAATGTGTGTGTTTGGATATCATGTGGCCAGTGCTCAATGGCAAACTTTGACGTTTAAAATATCAATCCCACTATTTTTTTTTCAATAATGAACTTCATTGTCAGAAGAGTAAATCTTATTGAGAAAGTGTGTGTGAATAAGTGAGTAAAAATAAGTACATACATGTTTATTGTATTGAGTATATTGATATAAATATTAAATTCGAAACCTAGGATAAAAATATATGCATATAAAAATAATTGATAAAATAATAGAAACAGGTATTTACATGCCAAGAATAATAACATAGGGGTATGCGTTCTCTATGTAAAAGGTAGATGTAAATATGAAGCTTGGGAAGGCAATGAGAGTAGACAGCACAGATTTTAAGAGTACAGTGTATTGATGTCAATGCTGAATGGAACCAATCAATTTGACTTCAATTTCTACTTAGGATTGATACTTATTAGGTAGCCTACTTCAGGAAAAATCTTGGTGGAAGTTATCGTCAAAAAATTCATCCAAACTGTAATAGGCTCTATCAAAGAATATAATTTTGATCTCTTTCCTAAACTCTGTAGGAAAAGTGAATGCATTTTTTGGTGTTATTGTAAATCACTGAATTATCACCTGAAGTATCGAGGCGGGTATAGGTAGTTTTAAATCGAGAGTGGAATAGTTAAAATTACTTAGAGAAAATTTTTCTCCAAGTTGGTTCATCAAGCAAGCCGTTTCTAATATGGAAGTGACAGAATGAAAAAAATTCATTTGTACTCCATATAGGCCTACAAGAGTATTATTGTTTGCCCATTTTCGAAGCACAATCAGAGAATTTCCTATCTCAAATAACAGTTTGCTAACGAATAATAAACGGTTTTAGCTGCAGAAGAACATTAATATCTAAAGGTGATTTTTACTGTATAACAACCCGAAGAAAGTTCATCACTGAGTTTTCTTACAGGGTCGTTATCTATGATAATTCAGAAGAATTTAGTGCTTAATGTGTTCTCTATAACACTCTCATAGAGCGTTATTGGAATGTTATCAAAACTGCACCGTCCTTGATACTGCCTAGTCCTTGATACTCTCAATATCTGAATATTTGATGTTGTGAAGATCTCAGGTATTATTTCTGTGCCACACTACAGTGGTGTCATGTGCAAATAACGAGAATCAGCCCTCTATATTCAACGATGTTAGATTATCGATATACAAAAAGAATTATGATGGGACCAACACTGCAGTTGATAACGAAGTTGTCGTATTAACAATTTGACTTTACTGGAAAGATATGATTGAACCTTCGTATGAGTTGTTCCGTCAATGCCATAAAAAACAATTTATTTAGCAGTATATACCATGATTTACACAATCGAAAGTTTTGGACAAATAACAGAACACCGCTAGAGCTAAATCAAGATTGTTGTTTTTATTATAAATTGTCACGTGACATTTTTTGAAAAAGAGGAAAAAATATTATTCGCAATACATTTTAAATAATTGTAACGGAATTATCATAAAAACATATGTATTGGCAGCACGTCAATATTACATGATTATATGGTTTGAGCAATTATTCAGATGGATCGAATGATAATTATTGATTTGAGGTTTCAAAGGTAGACCCTTTTAGTTCTTATAACGATAACAAAACTCAGTGGTGTAAGATTGCTTGAAAATATCTCTTCAACATTTTACATTCACATGTAGTCAGTCATATGAATATTGTAATTCAATTCAATTATATTTTTAAATGAGGGAAACTTATATAAACAAATATTACGGTGCTAGAAATCGCACGTTGAAAAGTAAGACCGCATTAATCTTTAGCTGGCACTAGTTCCGACTACTGGGAGATTTTTCAAACAGATTCGCGTAAAACTATAAAAAGCATAGACAGATTTATTAATTTTATATGTCATAGTTTATTTTTGAAACTATAAACAATATAACAGGTGAATAGACAAAAATGCATTAAGTGAATTCTGTAATATCAAGCAAGTTCGTATAGTTATGACCTGATTTGACCATTTCCAACATTTGAAACTATTAAACTATGAAAAACAAGTATTTAATAGCTAATTTCATTTGAATTGAAAATGTTTCGGTTATTCTTGGAGTCGTTGCAGGTAATTTAAGCAGACGAAGAGAGTAGACATTATGGTAATTCAGTGATGGAATATTTGAAAAGAGAGTTAACCTGTTTTTGTCGAGGCAGTTATTTTTTAATGTGGTGAAATGAAATAAAAAATACATGATGCATAAACGATAAAAACCTCCATCGTCATTTTCAATAGCGAAATAACGTTGAAGATGAGTTTCATCTCAAAACTGTTCTACCCATATATTTGTTTCATTTTCAGCATCTGATAGAAAATTTATGAGGTAATTCAACTTAGCTCATAGTGTTTTCCATTCATTGCCACTATACAGATACCTAAATAGTTTAATCTCAATTTCAAAAGCAAATATAGAATAATAATCTAAAATTACTAACTGTAGAGACAAGGTATGAAAGTAGTAGGTAACCATTCATTCTCGAATAGTTTACAGTGTA